TGATGACTTGTTGAGCTATAGCCATTAGATTACCACTATCAGTGCACATGTAAGCCATTTCTTAAAGGCCAGGTTTTAACCGGCGGTTTAAAAACGAATGCAGAAACTGCAGATTTTGTGTCACTGTAAAACGAAGAAGACGATGACGGAGAAGGAGAGATAGAGAGAGAAACGGCGGGATCTCAAAAGGAGAATTGAGCTTTGGATTTTAGTATTAGAGAGAGAGAGGTAAGAAAGGTCAGCCCTAGAAAGTGGATCAAGGTTGATTGAAATCGGACCGTTCGATTTCGTTTGTGGGTCCTATTTAACAAGTTTTTTTTCTTAAATAGATATGATATTTGTAACGGTAATAATAGCAATATAAACTCTTTTTCTTAGTCATTTTAGTAATGGGATTTTGTTTATTTGACCATATTTGTAACCTCCATATGGAAGTTTGAACCAAGTAATCTTGTGGTGATTTAACGAGAAAAATTGTTTATGTTTCTTTTAAAATATGATATAGTATTTCGTATTTAAGCGTTATTAAAATCAAAACTTTTTTGTTAGTCAAATGGGATTAACTTCGCCCAAAAGTGTCATTTCAGCGATGCTAAAATCTGGAAACATATAGTACTATAATTAATATAAATAAAAAACTGTAATTCAATATTTAAACAACCTCAAATATTAAATTTTGTGTTAATGTTAGAAAAATGTCATTCTAGTGATATCATAAAAGAAATCGAGTTAGAAAATGTATATAAAACCTATGTACCAGTAAACAATATACTCCTATATCTTAATCACCGAGGTTGATATAACATGTTCACATTAATGAATGATGAATCCATTGAGATATTATAACAATAATACAAATGAATTCATTTTTATACACGTGACACTCTCGCGCCAAAACAGAAATTAAACATGTATTAACAAAACAACCAAATTATTTGAGTACGAAATTGAAACAAAATGTTTGCTGTTTAAAGTAATAAAAATAATGGTGAATTTGATGAATAACCAAAAGAAAATTATAATTCAATAACAAAGCAAAATGAATAATATGGTAAAATCCAAGTCATTAGATTTTAAAAAATTAGTTAGTTACTATTATTTTATCCGTCTATATATGGTATTATTACTTGATCACAATGCTTCGGATAATATTTTTTATTATAAACGTATTGGATCATCAATTTCAGTATAAATTTTTGTTAATATTTTTTGGGATTTAGGAAGAAGAATATTTGTATATAACTATTCTATAACTATTATCACATGGTGGATAAGTATAAAACGTCAAACGTAG